CTTGAGCTAGTCTACCAATATAACACTGTAATATCTCACTAACAGGATCTGCCACTAATAAAAATATAAACAAAGTATATAATGATAATAACATTATTACTTGTTTTACGAATATTATTAGAAACAGATAACACATTCATTTCTCGTAGTGCATTAGCCAGTGTCTGCCATACAAGAGTACGATCAGAGCCTTCAGTCAACCACTTGGCTAAACACTCCATCAGGCAATTTGAAGGATCTCCTTTATTAGCTGACTCAATTGCTTTCAGTGTATGATAAGATAGACCAAAATTTAACCCAAATTCAAACCATCTTGCTTCAGGAAACTTGTAATGCCTCAAGACTTTCAAAACAAAGTTTAACTTGCTAATATCTGTACACAAAACTGAAATGTAGCAATATGTGTGTACTATACTCACCTAATGGGAAATGTCCTTTTGAGGCCATTTGAAATATATAAGTAGAAGTGAAAAGTCTATAAGTCCTAGGAGGACTATCACGGCTATAAACACAAGGAATTGGCAAAACACACAACAACAAGTTTCTTTGGCCAACATACACTAGACAACATGTTGCTAACAACTTTGTGGTTGCTTTCTTTTTGAAACAACATGTTGCCAGAAATAGATAGCTGTTCTATTTCTGGCAACATGTTGCTTACAAGATCAAAGTAGCCACAAATGTTGCTAGCAACATGTTGCATATAGTGTGAGTGAATTTGAAACATTCAATATTATTCTAGCCAAAATTATTTTAGACACAACAAATTAAATATACTGAGTTATATTAAATAAATAATGTATTTCTCAGTTTGTAAAAGATATCCTTCATCATTCATGTAAGTCTTCCAACCATTTCAATGAGACTACTGTAGCCTTGTGTGTATTCTATGACAACTTGTTTCCCTCCAAGCCAGGAACAATAAAGTTTGTTACTTTATCAGTGGCCGGGGGCCTCCTCTACATCACCATTATAACTAAGGATAAGTTAAGGAATTATATGTCATTATTAATATAAAACTAAAGTCTATACGTGTAGAAATAGGATATGTTATTATATAACGGGATAGAGTGAGTCTAATACTCTCATCAATTCCATAGAAACAGACACTGATATCAGTAAATATGTAAAGTAATGGATCCATTACTAAAAGATTAGTACAATAATGATCAATTGATGAAAGGTCTCTTTACCTTTAGTATGTACATATACAATTTATGCATGTATTAAGTGGTTTGTCCATTTCTGAGATATATAAGGTTGGTATTCCTTTACTTGAGAGATGTTTTCTGATTGATCTCTTAGTACCATACCAACTGAAATGAAGAGTACCCTGTAGCCCATCAAAAATGGCTCCAAAATTACCCCCAATTAAATTTATATTACACCTTTATATATGCATTGATGTTCTTATGCTGTGTAGAAATTTTGCTGACTAAAAGTTTTTGAGTTATGGCCATTTATGAAATTGGCTAATTTCTGAAAATACAGCCCATACTTTTTCCAAAAATGGCTCCAAAATCACTCAAAACTTTTATTGCATTTTCTGATATGTATTAATGTCCTTCTGCTATGTAGAAAATTCAAGATGATTCTGATTAAAAGGTTTTGAGCTATTCTCATCCTAATATGCACAGTATATTTACATTAGTGATGCACAATTCCAAGTCCGGAGTATTTGATTCTTCAATTTCGAATGGAATCGTATTTGTATCAAAAAAGAAGTGAGAATCATTTGAAACATTTGGCTTTACACATGCGCAGATGTAGTACTCAGAATCAGTATTTGATTCCATCGATTCCAGTCTCAAAAGTATTTGGAATCAGAATCAAATGCAAATTTCTGGATTTGCCCATCTCTAATTTACATGTAAAGTTAATTATTTTGTTTATTAATTCATTTATTTACAGTGGCCTTGTGATTCTGACTCCAATGTAACATATGGATTTGAACTACTGGATTAATTATTATAAAAGTATGTACATATAACTACAAATTTCATAATTATACATGTATAATTACATGCATGCAATACATGCACATATTTAAATTGCAGTATATTTAATTTTTGTTGAAATTTTTCTGAGAATCCTCAATGGTTTTATTATTCTACATGTATTATGCACATGTGTTTTGCAGTCAGTGTTAAATTTACATACCAATACAATAATTATGCTAATAGAATCAGTACCAGACATTCACATGCATGAAGAGGAGGTTCTACAGGTCTTAGATTAAAAAATGACAGTAAGAATGAAGCATGTACTTATTTTAAAGAAATCTACATGTGCCCATGGGCTTACGCCAACTACAAGAACCTTTTTGGCCACAGAACCAACTGTCCCCACCAGAAATGGTTGGGCACCTTTATATTATTTTTTAAAACATTTGACACAAACAAGTTAAAATCAGTTATGCATATGACACACACATGACAAACACATGACATAGAGAGTTCCTAGTTAGATGACAACCTGGGCAAGCCTTAGCAAGCCCGAGCTGTGATCCCTCACATAAATCACCTGCAGTTACACAAATTAGTCTAAGGTCAAACCACAACACACTATTATTACACAACACATACATCACTAATAATTGATAATGAATATACAACTAATAATTCAAATAATAATGATACACATATACAACCAATAATAGAATAATAACACATTTGTACACAACCCATAATTAATAACACATACCTATCAGAATAATTAATCTTCAATAGTTTTAATCCATCACACCATTCATTATTAATATAAACATTTACAATGGTATAACTCTACATAAAAGACACTTTGGTACAAGAAGGTTCTCCGCTGAATCTGAATAGTTTTTGCTATCACTGGTTTTAGGTGTTTACACTAATCCACCAGCTGTGTTTTCATTTGAACTTATCATTTGTTTACAGAAGTATCCACTTAGGTATTTGTTTTCAAATGTCTCTGGATAAGTATGCGTTTTCATGTGTTTTAGTGTAAACGAAAGCTGTATCCGTGACAAAAAGTCTCTGTTTTCCAATGAAACCAGAGTAGTGTAAACGCAGCCTTAGTCCTCACAGTTCCTCTCAGTTCTTTCTCTCTCTCCCTTGTTTATTCATTTATTGGTTTTGATTAAAGATACTAAGACTATTCAGTAAGCTGTTAAGTCATTGACTGTATCTACATAAACTCATCATTTTGTATAGGTTTGTACCAATTGAGACATTACAAAATCTCCTCATTATAAAGGTGTCTTTGCTATAAAGGTGTTTTTATTACAAAGGCTATAGGTCTACACTATAATTATTTTATAATTTCAGTAATACTGTTATTATTATGATTATCCACTCTTGCATTATTTATTGCCTTTTTCTCTTCTTTTTAAATAGTCAATCTATTTTGTTTTTGCCACTCGCTAAAAACTTTGTAGACAGTAAAAGCACAGCATCAATCATGCAGTTAATAATGTTATAACTCCATCTTTCTTCTCCTCTTCCTCCCTCTTTATACAGTTATCATTAATCACTTCGTAAAATATTTCGTGTTTAAATAAAATAACATAATACAATTAATTACACAAATATTAATCTATCTTTTACAATATCATAATCATGGTATTCTGTGCATGTGTCTTGGTGCTTCATATCTAAGTATAGCTTTACTAAATTCTCATTAATTGATAATATAGAAAGAATTAGTAGTATTCCATCAGATGATATTGAGGTGCCTCTTATTGATAGTTCAGTTATTGTTGAATTTTTGGTAATTAGTTCAGAAAGAGACTGAGCACTAAAAGAACTAATAAGAGGATTATTTAAAAAGGATAATCTTTTAAGTGTGTTATTGTGTGTTTTTAGTACACTTGTAACATCAGCAACTGCTTTGTCATCAATGGAACAGTTCGTAAGATGTATTTCTTCTAATGATTTATTATTAGCCAGTAAGTTACATAATGATGAGACGCAGTCCTGCGTTAGTTGAGTGTCTTGTATTTTGAAGTACATCACCTTTTCATTTTGTAACAAAACTGGCAACAGGTTAAGCACAATGTCAGGAGATGATTTGATGATGTTAATGTTTGTATGCTTGTATGTTAATAAAGAAACTACTTCTTGACATTGTATTAAAGATGGAGAGGTCAGTTGAACACCATCATCATACCACCTAATTGCTTTAGGCTTTCCTGAATACACAAGAAAGTTATAAATAATTATTGAGCTATAAAATAAATTTTAACAATGCCTACTGAATTTTCAAAACAAATTAATTATAGATATTTTTGGCTTAATTTTTATAAACAGTGTTAGATGCATAATTTTACCACTTGATATTTCTTGCAATTATTTTAAGTAGTATTTGGCTATGTACATTCCCAAAAAAGCTATAATAATCTAAATTAAAAAGGAAAATTACATGTAAATTTCAGCAAAACACAATATGCCACCTGATCTATTAATTATTAAACTAACTATTAATAATTTTTCCCGCATAAAAAATATTGCAGAATTAAAAACTGAGTGTATATACATGTACATGGCAATGTACATACTCAAAGCAATCAAGCTGTTTGTATAAGAATAAATATGCTAACATTAAAAATCTTCCAAATGCTATTATTATATCTTACCATGTTCTTTTTCTCTAAGTTGATTTAGCAGAACTGAATCTTGTTTAATTAATGATAAAAAGAGACTTGCCCTCTCAACGTCACTTCTCATCTTAATTTCCTTGATTTTAGGTATGTCAACATTCTCTGTCATTGCATAATGAAATAGTTCAAGTGATTCCAATGTTGATAGTTCATTCTCTTCATCTTTTCTTATATGATCAATATGAACTCTTCCCTCTTGTTCAGTATCTAATGATTTTGCTAGCCACCATCCATTAGTACGCTCTTCCTTGATCTCAAGTTTCTCTCCTTCCTTGAATGAAAGTTGAGTAGCTTCCCTTTGCTCATAGTCAAACTTTGCTACATAAACTGGTCCTTTTGGTGGATCCATTGATTGTGTGGACTGATCCTTTCCTAAAATACCAGTACTAGTCATTATGCTAATATAATGTAATACATACGAAGAGTAATTGAAGTTTCTTTCAGTTGTTGTACATTCATTAGTGATATCTTTTCCTGTAACAGCTCTATCTCCTTCTCTCTTTCAATTAATGTTTCCTCTATTCCTATCATAATAATAATGTGGGGAATTTAAATTTGCTAGTGTAATTGTGAGTAGTTGATGCACCCATGCAAATTGTGCGTTTTTTACTTAGCAATCTGCAAAATTAAATTCCAGTAAATAGTTCTAGCTATAATGGTAACAAAAATTAAATCTGCAGATGCATGCTATGATAATTCAATATTAAACGATACAAATGAGCAATTCACAGTATAGCAGATAATTCTGAAGGGAATTACATTTGGTGAATTTGCGTTTTGATAGCCATTCACCAAAATAAAAATCCGCCATTAACAGCAATTATGCGTATGCTCAATGGAACATGACCACAAATTCGCCAAATTAAAATGTGCCAATCACCCAAAATTCAGCAATTTGCCAAATGTTACTCCCTCTAAAATTTCCTACTATACGGTATATACATGACTACACCATGAGTAAGCATGTACTGTATGCATAATGCCATTACATCATATGGCACAACTGTACATTTCATAAATTTTTCCAAAATTCATTAAATTTCTGCAATTTGTCACTTAGCTTGTATTATTAAAAGTTTTTTTGTGAATCTTTAAAGAATTTAAATTTCTAAAATTTTAAACCATATGTGCACACCTGTTTTGCTTTGAAGAGATGATCGTAAATGATCTATTTCCATTTGCATTGCTTTTGTCATCTTCTTTTTACTGTCTTCCTTCTCAAACTCTAAATAATAAGGAAATCAATCAAAAACAAAGAAGGTATTAGAAGGAGAAGGAACCAACATAACTCATTAAGAAGAGATAAATAAAGAACAAGACAGGCCAAAATAAAACAAAAAGCAAATTAAGCATTGAATTAAGTATGTGCATGTGTGCATATCAAAATAGTACAGAACTTACTAGAACTAAGCATGCATGAAACAGAAACCACAATGTTAGTAATGCACAAAACCACAACATTACATCACACAAACAGCATTAAAATTGATTTACTAGTTTTCACACTCCTAATTATATCAAATTAATGTAAAATGCAGCTGTGTAATGTATTGTAATTATAATTATGCAGTACTAGTACATTTGTACATACCTGTTTTGCTTTGAAGAGATGATGGTGAATGATCTACTTCTATCTGCATTGCTTTTGACATCTTCTTTTTACTACCTTCCTTACTAGACTCTATATAATAAAAATGAGATAAACAAAAATTCAATTACATGATGAGTTTATCCAGAAGTCATTCACATGGCAATAATTAGTATCCTTTTTTCAAGACATTAATGATTAGTATATAATTTATGTACCTTTCAATTTAGCATTCTCCTCAAGTAAATCATCTCTTTCACTCTCTACCATCTCCAGTTTCTTCATTAGACTCTTCACCTCCTATCAAATATTAAAGTATACTATTAATTTATATACACATACATTCACTAACCTCATCAATTGCATGTTCATCATACACAGTATAGTAACCAATAGTTAAACTAATCAATCCCATCTCCTTTAGCATATCAACATTATCTCTAGCTGTCACTAGTAAACTCTCCATCAGATAATGAGGAGCATAACAAGTAACAATGATGGAGTTCCCTTCCTTGATCACTACCACCTCTACTTGATTATCCTTGAACGTTTTCCATAGGAGGGCTCTGATACTGGAGAGAGAATGCTCACTTGGATTCCATTTCAGAATAAACTTGATTGTCTCACAAGTGAGGAGAGAAGATGATAATCTCTTAAGCTGACAATTACAAAACATTGTTAATTTGTTCTCACAGAATTCATCCAGGTGTGTCTGATAAGCTAATATCATGTCTCCAGCATCTTGTATTGAGTATTTGTTCACTATAGTCTCCAATAGAGCAACGTTAGTGATAGAACACTCATCCTCAATCACGTCCATTACATCATCAAAGCTATTGGCATTTTTCAATTGAGGTTTTAAATCTCGACGACACCTTCCAAGGTAGGTCTTCAAATCATTGACAGAGGGTATGGCTGCTTCAATAAGAGGAACAACATTGTGAATAAGTGTACCAAGTATATCACCCATTCTATCAAACTCAGCTTTATAGCCAGGATGCACTATGGCCTCTACTACACCTATAATATAGTGTAATGACTTTGAACTGGGCATTATAATTAATGTTACTAACCTTGTGGAATAGCATCAGTATTGGTAGTTACTTGAGTCTCGCTACTACTATCTTGTAATTGTCCAGATCCTGTATTTATTATAATAATGAATAAATATGCCTTACAGCGGGTATTAATCACGACACTTAATTTTAGAGATTTTAGCAAGTGTACTTAATCAAAGGCATTCAACCAGCTCAGTGCTAATAATAGTTATACTGTACTTGTGTAAACAAGTAAAGTATAATAGGAAACAAGTACCGGTACACAAAATAGACAAAATTACACAAGATTTTGTGTAAACAAGTACCGGTAGATCTATACTAGAAAGGCAAGATCTATAAAAAGATAACAATAGATAGTGTGATCCTATTAAGTGTTCCACTCTTAAATGGATAGATTGGGCTTCTTGAGTAGTGTTATGTTATTAAATGGGAGTTTCACCATTGATTTTCTTCCTATTTTTGCTAATTATTACATTTTGCTAAATCAGGGTCCCCTTGAAAATGATAAAATTTAAGAGCGCAATTAATACCCACTCAAATGTATGATTTATGTATGCTATAATTACTTAAAGATGTTGAAGTACTTGCTTGCTGACAAGATGGCATCACTGTTACTGCTAAAGGAAATGACTTTCCTATTTTTATTAGAATTATAAATAATTTAAGTGCATTCATAAAAACTATTCATTTACCATATTCCATTATTATATCACTAGCTAAAGACACTGCTTCCTTTGATTTCATTAGAATGCTTGTCAGGGTACGTAACTTGCTATGATCTTCAGCTACAGCACTTAATATTAGTAACATTGGATCTCCTACCAATGAACAGCCGCAACTCTTCACTTCTGTTAATGTATCCTTAGATATCAATCCCTCTGTATGTAAGAGATCAACTGATTCCTCAGTAAGAACAACTTGAGCTAGTCTACCAATATAACACTGTAATATCTCACTGACAGGATCTGCCACTAATAAAAATACAGACAAAGTATTATTATAATGGTAATATACCGGTATATATACCATTATTACTTGTTTTACGAATATCAGTAGAAATAGATTTTACGTCCATTTCTCTAAGAGCATTGGCCAGTGTTTGCCAGATAATAGGACCAACAGTGGTGACATTATCATCAGCTTTAGTCAACCACTTGGTTAAACACTCCATCAGGCAGCGTGAAGGGTTGCCTCTATGAGCTGACTCAATAGCTTCCAGTGTAGGATGAAGTAGACCAAGATTGAGCCCAAAGTCAAACCATCTTGCTTCAGGAAACTTGTAATGCCTCAAGACTTGTAAAACAAACCTTAACTTGCTAATATCTGTACAAGAAAATAGATTAATATAATCATAATGTAGCTACAATAACATTAATTTTTATACTCACCTAATGGGGCCATTTCAAAGAAGCTCAAACAAGAATCTTGGCTATGGCTATCTACTCAGTAACCACGTGAGCATAAAGAACCACATTCAAAATTAAATATTAATTTTAATAGCCACACCGCTTATGTTTTTTTAATGATGTATTAAATATTTCTCTGTTTGTAGAAGATGTCCTTCATGTAAACTGTCTTCCAGCCATTTTAATGATACTACTGTGGCCTTGTGCATTCCATGGTAACTTGTTTCCCTCCAAGCCAGGAACAATAATGTGTGTTGTTTTATCAGTGGAGCACTGGAGCCCTCCTCTACAGTCTACATCACCATTATAAGTATGGATAAGATAAGGATTATACATTATTATTAATATAACATTAAATCTATGCATGTAGAATTAGGATATGCTATCATATCATATAACAGGATAGGGTGCGTCTGGTACTCTGATCAATTCCATAGAAACAGACACTGATATCCGTAAATATATCAGGTAATGGATCCACTACTAAAAGATTACAATAATGACAAATTGATGAAGGTGTCTCCTAACCTTTAATACGAAGTTCAGGGCTAACTCTTGGTACAGTTTTGTGGTGCCCATGACGTCAAAAATAATAACTGTTGAATAATATTAAGGAGAAAAATATTGTGAAGGGCGCTTTCCTACATGTACATGTACAATATAGTTTATACATGTAGTAAGTGGTTTGTGCATTTCTGAGATACATGAATGTTGGTATTCCTTTGCTTGAGAGATGTTTTCTGATTAATCTCTCAGTACCATACCAATTGAAATGAGGAGTAGAGTGAAATGAACTGATGCTATAGAGAAAAGGAAAGAAGAGAGAGAGAGAAAAAAGAGACAGTTGGGACAGGGAAAGAGGGAGAAAAAGAGAGAAATGACAAGGAAATAAAAAGATCATACAATTACTAGGTGCTACCATTTAGTCTTAATGCTATTCTTTGTAAGCCAATACTGAGAGAAGGTAACTTAATCCCTGACAGGCTACCACTAGAATCCATTGACTGGGCAACAATTAGTGCCAACTAAAATTAATGAAGACATAAATCAACAAAATAGTACAATAAAACGTATAATGACTACAGTATATGTACATGTACATGTATACATACCATATCTCTGCCTTGATCTCTACTCATGATATCATCAACTGGTATTACATGCACATCACTCAAGGACAAATCTATAATCATTACATCGGTGTCATAATGTAACTGACCATCATTACACAGTACCTCTCATTTTACTTGCTTTCTTATAGTAGGTCTCTGGTTGCATTGAGCGTGTTGATATAGCTGAAAATAAACCACCACGCCCCCACCGTCCAGAATCATCTACATGCATGTACATGTAATTGAAAGCATAATATTATGCACAGAATGAATTTAATATAAAATATTATGATACTAACACTATGCACTACCATAAAGAGGGTCTCATACCAATAATATGATATTCCTTACCTACACAGTGTACAATAATAGCATCATTAGTTGATGTGTTCTGTGGTTGTGTCACGTCACCAATGAGATACTGTATTTCCCTCTCCTCTCTCTCTTCCTCCTCCTCTTCCTCTTCTTTTATCTTTAATGATGAGTAGTTGTGTTCTTTCCACCATTCCTGCTTCTTTCTTTCCTTCTCTTCTTTCTGTCTTTTCTTTTCTTCCTCCATTAGTTTTTGTCTCTTAATCTTAACTTATAAGAAGTATAAGAATTTAGTGCTTATATGCATGTACAAGTACATTCAGTAATAGAACTGTTGTAATTAACTGTATTTGTACATTTTTACAAATCAGCTATTAAAAGTTACATTCAGAAAAAATGCAATAAAAAAATTAATTCATGCAAACTTTGTTTTTGACTGATTTGTGACAATTTAACATTTAAAATTTATCCATTTTAAGTCAGTCCTAAATTTTTAGTAAGGGTAAGTAATATTAATTTTGTGGTAACCTTAATACATGGTTTAGCCCATGCTTCTTGTCAAAACTGACTTCAAAACAAATATCATTTTGACTAAAATTTTCTACTGACACATTTCCTTGGAACAATTAGGCTCTAATTTAATAATTGGGCCAGAGACTATAATTCATAGCTACATGTAAATAAATGTTACTACATTTTCCAATACACACATGACATGTATAAACTATACTATGTCCCAACTGAGAATGGACCGGAAGTGGAAGCAGCTGCATTGGAATTTGAAAAATGTATCTACGTCACTAATGACGTCTTATAATGATATTCATAGAGACATGGCCGATATTTCGGCTGTGTTGTTTCACTCTTAAAATAGTCTTGTTCTTCCAGATAAGCAGTACAATAGCTACTGGAGTCACCTAGTCTTCATAAAGGCCATCATTATCAGAAGATCTCGCTCTATTAGCTTTTTAAAAGAAGAATTATCAGTTTGGGCGCTACACCACATGTGCTTATGTAAACTATGACATCATAGAACGTCATTGCGGTTAGCTTTGGTATGCCATTGGGTTTATAGGGAGAACCCGGTTCTCAGGGTTCCCAAGGGCTGAGAGACCCAAGACCTGAGATCCTGAAGCGGCATTGGGCGACTAAGAACCTGTGAAAGTCTCATTCTTATCCCACATTCCTATAAAAAGTTATTCCAGTTTTTCTTGGTCCAAACTCAGTTGGGACATAGTATACACTTCATATATAATATCTAGATAGTACTGTCAGTGCCTTATTGGATAAAAAAGATAAGTGTTGTGTTTACAATGCTATTTATCTGTAGTACTGATTTTAGTACCTACATGTTTCTTCCATACTTAATGTTATTGTACTTGTTTGTAGTTTTAGTCCTAAGTATAATTGTTTCAGTGTTAGTTGTAAGAAAGGGAAGTAGAAAAAGGAAAAGTAATTTAACTGGGGCCAAATCTAAAGGAAAAAATAAGAAACAATATAAAAATAGAAAGCAAATGGAAGGTTTCGTTGCAAAGAATAGATC